GAGTCCCCCCAAAGACGCGTCTCCGTCCTTCATGCTGAGCATCTTCGCCTTTCTGAAAATCTTCGTCACCAAGATGCTGGTGAGCCCTCGTCTTCAGAATGTGGAAAGGCGATAATGAAGGTCACAACAGTTGGTCTTAATCAAACTCTTCCCTGCAGAACTTGCTGGCTCGTAACTTCTACAACGTGCGTTTCCTGGCTCTGTTTGTGTGTTTCGCCATCAACTTCATTCTTCTCTTCTACAAGGTAATGAAAGTCACGTTTCTAAACGGAGCATCAATTCCAAGATCATTGGAAAATAAATATTGTATTTCTTTTCTTTTCACTATATCTGTAAAGCTTCTTTGAGCACCGGTAAAAGCGCTAACAAAATAAATATATTATTATTATTATTATTGTGCATTTAAAAGATGATGATAATGAAAAAGCACCGGTCAAATAACAATTCAATGTGATGATCCCTCACAGACCGAGTAAGCATTCTCGGTCATCTATAGGACAACAAAATGTTTTTATAATTATTATTTTTTATAAAGGGCTGAAACTTTTTTTTAATTCCAAATCTTTTGCAAAAGTAAGTTTATTTCATTTTTTTTTTCCTGTACATTTAGGATGTAAATAAATTAAAGGTGGGGTATGTAATTTATTTCAGAAACACTTTTTTTTATATTCCATGGAATGCTCTTAACATCCCGATAGCAATGAATATATTAAATGCTTTGACAATAAATACATTTTTTTAAAAATTCATCTGTGGAAGCCGTGGCGCTGTAAAAAGCACGACCAATCATCTGAGCCGGCCCGGCTAAAATAACTGAATGGCCTACCTGCCTGTCAGCCTTCCACCTGTGCACAAACTTATCTCGTGCCCTCATTGGTCATGTGCGCGTTCGTGTGTGTTGGAGGAAGGAAGTCTGAAGGAAGTGGCAGATTTTTTCCGGTTGTGTATTTTCAAATTCTATCGCACTCGAGCTGGTTTCTCCATTCTTTCCTCCCTACCTTTGAGTTTGACACTGGTGACAATAATCTCCAGGGGCAGTACCTGTCTTTTTTAACCTTTACTTGCAAAATTCAATTTTTTCCTTTTCATAACTTTACTTAATTTATAGTGTTTTCTTGGAACTTTTACCTCTACCCCAGAACCTCGTTCTTTTTAAAACAGTTTTCTCCGCAGCGACCCTATACTAGTTGTGGACTATTCATTGTATATTGTGGTAACTTCTCTTTGCTCTTTAGGTCACTGGTGAAGCTGAGGTAGATGAGGAGGACACCTGGGACGGCGATGAAGATAATGATGAGGAGAACACATTTTTCGACATGGATGAGTTTGTCCTGCAGGAGAGCACCGGCTACATGTTACCCACGCTGCGCTTCCTCGCTGTTTTCCACACCGTCATCTCACTCGTCTGTCTCTTCGGGTACTGCTTCCTCAAGGTGGGTTTACTCTTGATGTTTTTCTCCCTATCAATGGGTGAATTGCTTGCCATTGTGTAAGGTAAAGTGTTAATCGCCCATCTTATTATGTTTGCCCGTAGGTTCCTCTGGTGGTGTTCAAGAGGGAGAAGGAGATTGCGAGGAAGCTTGAATTCGACGGTCTCTACATCACCGAGCAACCGTCCGACGAGGACATCAAGGGCCAGTGGGATCGACTCGTCATCAACACCCCGTGAGTCACCGTCCTGATTCACACTGTCCAATCCCAAGAAGCGATGACACTAAAAGTAGTCTTTTTTTGTGTACAGTTCCAAACATACAGAAGTGCACTTCTCAAGGTCAAATTACACTGAGGTACAGGTGCATAAAACATACCACCCTTTTATTTTTTTATTTTTTTAAATCTACTAATTCATCCAAAAAACTAAAAAAGTAGAATTCAAACACACAAAGGTGAAAAAAATTAGTAGAAGCGGGAGGGCTGAAGCATAGCTCATGGGAAGTAGCCCTCCCGTGAATCATCCTAATACAACGTTGGCATTATAGCATCAAACACGTATAGAAATGAAGGAGTAGAAAGAAATAAAGAAAACTGGAAAAGAAAACAAAAAATTAAAGTTAGGGCAAGATAAGAAAATAGAAAAAGAAAAAAAATAATAAGAAAACTGGATATAGGGTCATTTTCTGCACATGTCAATTGCAGTTTCAACTGTCTTTTTTGAAAAGGAAAATACGATATATAAATATATATATATTCATACAAAGACACATCTTACAAACATTTCAAAATTGAATAACTTTCCAGCTCCAGGTTCAATTCAAGGCAGTTTCATGGTTCATAGTCTGAACTCAAAATAATCCTATTATGAGGTTCGTCAGTATTCAATTATCCTCATCATCTGCTAGCTCCATACCGTAATCTGCATATTTACATAATATATGACATGCAAGGACATTTTGATTCATGTCGATCAGCATGACAAATTCCAGAAAACAACTAGAGAGAATAATTGAATTAAAGTCATTCTTTTACAGAGAGAGTGTAAGTTACCACCGCTGATTGTTACTTCTACTTTCTTTAACAGGTCTTTCCCCAGCAACTACTGGGACAAGTTCATCAAGCGCAAGGTGAGTGTGTGCAAAGGAGTAACTACATTTCTTACACAGAATAATAACATATAACTAAACATGTAGTCATAATGTACTTGTCAACCTAAATTCCTAGTGAGACATGTCATGGTTTTTAAACCAAATATCCTATTATGGACATGCCTAATACAGTTTTCAGTAGTTGTTAGCATGATAGGTCAAATCTTTTAAAACAAATCTTCTGAGGTAATTAGCAGTGAAATTCTAATAATATGTGACCCTGTGTTATGTTGCAGGCAGACCCTTTAACATCCTGTGTTATCTTGCGTTCTTTCTTAATCAGACTTTTTGTTGTGTTGTGTTGTGACCAAGTCTCTTTTTGCCGTCCTTTATTTGTAGGTGATCAATAAATATGGAGACATGTACGGAGCCGAGCGCATCGCTGAGCTGTTGGGCCTGGATAAGAGCGCTCTGGACTTCGACCCCACGGTGGAGACTGTAGAGAATGAAGCCTCCCTGCTCTCCTGGTGAGAGATGAACCCTTGTTGTATCTATTCATACTCACTGCAACCAGCAGTCTTTTACACTTTTTTAAGGGATTGCTAAAATGATACTCAAAGGGCTTTAAGTTACGCCTGAGAGTTTGAGCATTTCCTGAAGTTATCCCATAAAAAAACTGTAATTTCTAAACCCCATGTTAAATATATCTAGTCCAGTATCTCCTCATTTGTGTCAATCGTTAACATGACATGCATGGTTGCATTTCAGTATGACAGGTTTTCTATCTTAACGTTCAACTTGTATATTTTTCTACTTTTTAATGCTGTTTTATTTCTATTTTGAGATGTTTCAATTTTAGAATTGTTTATTTCTAATCTTTCTACTTATGTGCCTTGTTTTTGATGCTGCTGCAACACATTTCTTCCCTAATTTGGGATCAATAAAGTACATTTGATCTTATTGTGTTCTCCCGTTTGCAGGCTGAGCTCCATCGATACCAAGTACCACATCTGGAAGATGGGAGTGGTTCTGACTGACAATGTACGTTTATTCAACGTGCTATCAAACCACTTTTTATTCACAGCACTGCGGGGGGAAATAAAGTAGAAGAAATAAAGTACCGTATATCTTACTTTTCATTAGGATTTTGCTTATTACATTTTATTCTGTGATCAAATAAAATCAAGTTTTATTTATATAGCACATTTTTAAACGATATTTGGTCGAGCCAAAGTGCTATAATAAAGATACCCTACAGTAAAGACACTTTACAGCAACAGCACAGTTTGTGCAGACTATCAGTATGAGAAAACGACACCCTCTGTCCTTAGACCTGTCCTGTAATAGCCTAAATAGTATTTACCTTACGAAAGTGACATTACAATGAATGAATACTCTGATAGAACAGACACCCAGCTAAAAACATGATTATTAAAATAGTCAAAGGTTTTATTTGGTTATTTTTCACATATGTCCACAGTATGTGTAGTAATATGCAAGGTGGCATAAGACAGCAGTTTGCTTTTACTATATGCAAAGACATTCCTCTAGAACCTTTGTCACTAATAAATGTCCTTTCCTCTCCCTCAGTACTTCCTGTATCTGATCTGGTACTCCACCATGTCCATTTTCGGACACTTCAACAACTTCTTCTTCGCTGCCCATCTTCTGGACATCGCCATGGTCTTCAAGTCGCTCCAAACCATCCTGTCGTCTGTCACTCACAACGGCAAGCAGGTACAGAGTTCATCCAGCAGAGGGAGCCAGAGCACAGAGAAGAACAGTGACCGCCACCCTCTGTGGCAGAGCAGCCTGTCCTTACAACCACCTTTTCCCTTTTTACGTAGAATTACAACACCGTGAAATAAAGGATATATTACGGGGTTTTAATTTCAAGTATTGAAGAATGTAAAGAGATATTCTGCTGCCATCTGGATACATCTTTATCAGGGCTCATCTTACATAGAGATCTGCATGAATCAGATCAGAATACCTTATTAGTCCCACGGAGGGGACATGTGCGTAGTTACAGCAGGAAAAATTACACAGTTATTAATCGCATTTATATATTGCACATAGTTTGTTGGTATTTAGCAGCAAGGGGTGTGTGTGTGTGTGTGTGTGTGTGTGTGTGTGTGTGTGTGTGTGTGTGTGTGTGTGTGTGTGTGTGTGTGTGTGTGTGTGTGTGTGTGTGT